ATATTAATGCACGGTCAGAACTTTTTTTCCCAAATCAACGACTTTGGAGGGCATGAAAAGCACAGAGGGGTATTCTCAATTCATATCAGGGTCATGTTCTCAAAACTCTGAATTGTTATCGGTTAACGCAATGGACTTGCAATCTAAAGGTCGCCAGTCCAATTTGACCTCCCGGCCAAGCAGTTCAGAATCAGACTCTTTATTTCGGCTGGAGGAATCCAATGAGCGATGAAGCTCTTTTGTTCATTAGTTGAAACATTTAGGCACGTTTATGAAATCCCCCTATCCTGGCACTCTGTCCATTTGGCAGTATAAATGGGTACGGCACCACCGAGACCACGTATGGTGGGGATAAGTGTCACTATATCTTCAAATACGTTTGGCCAGTGGAAGAGTAGGCCAAAATTAGCCCTCCAGAGCTACCTGTATAATGGAAGCAGGGCTGCACCATTGGCCCTAACTGTTAAGGCAGGAGAAAGTCGGATATGCGAGCGAGATGCTAGCTTCCTCAAGAAGGAAGCTTTATTATTGAGTCAGTCCAGGCTTATTTACATCTGGCTTTATTGCATTACAGCAGCGGCAACCCACCCAAGGACCTCGTGCACTTGCATGGTGACGTCATCTATTATGTAAACAAACCCACACGACTCGGCAGCCAAGATCTAGAGCAGGGGAAAGTCAAATCTCCTTAAGATCCAGAATAGAGAGAGGGGGGGGTAGTGAATATCTGCGAGCCAGCGCCGAACGCTCAAGCCGGCAGATTCGTTTGCGGTTTCGTGCGACGGTCGCCACAGCGTGGATATCTCGGGATGATGGGGGTGGTGGTCGTGGTGTGGTTGTGATGGTTATGTTGACGGTCGTCTTTGGTGCTGGCGATGGTGTAAGTATGAATGTGGAACTTCCTTCGCACCGTACGTGGCCAACCGTGCTAAATCGGGAGGTGCGGGGGAAGGTGGTGTGGATATAATATTTTAACCGTTCCTGGGACTCACCTAGGTCCGCTCGGCCTCAAATAAGTACCTGGTGCGATGTGTAAACATCAGCATTGGTGAGACAAAGGCGGCCAGCCGGGCGTGTTGTTGAACGGCCACTCACCCCCTCGTGTGCCATGCCGGCCTTAATAGGTGCTCGCTAACAGCATTGGCCAAAACAGCCCGGTAAATGCTAAAAGGGGGATCTTTGTGTCCGATGTTGATGTGCCTATCGTGGTGCCGCTTACGTGACGATACGCAGATGGGGGTTGTTGTTGTGTGGTGGCAGTTCTGATGGATGTGCTTTGGTATGAAAGGTGCAGGGTCAGACAAATACAAAAAACAAAGATCCCCCGTATAGACTAAACAGACTGTTGGGGCAAGTGCTGTTCGCGAGCAGCACCGAATGAAGGCCGACATCGCACATATGGGGGTGGGTGGCCAGCACCACGCCCGGCCGTCTTAGACCAATAAACACATACACAGGATCACACACAGTCACACGAGCACATCAACTCCCACAAACAAACAGTCTCACACACACAGTCACACACACGCATAATAAGCGCAAACTCTCTCGCACCCTGCAACACAAACTCACACCCAAAATTATCGCTAAACAAAAATAACCGTTCGACTGTAAATAGATAAACTGTGGGACACAAATCACACTTAACTCAGCACACACACAAATCACACTTAACTCGGCACACACACATGGATAACCCCGCACGTACACGCAAACTCACAACGTGGCACACAAAACTCACAATCGCACAAAAAACAAACTCACAAACTTACAAACTCACACACTTACAAACTCACACACGACACGCACACTCGTACACCCGCACACAAACTCACAATCGCACACAAGACGTACACACACACACACTCTCGTACACACACACACTCTCGCATCCACACCGCAATTTATCGCGAACCAAAAATAACTGTGCTAAATAAATATAAAAATATAAAAACTCCACGCCACGCCAACCCCGACTCGGTCAACACGCGCCCATTTAAACGCCTCCTCCTCCCCGCCTCTCTCCACCTTTAAACTCACGCCACCCTGAGCTGCGACATCACCATCGTCATCACCACCATCATTACCACCACCATCATCATCATCACCACCACCATCATCATCACCACCACCACCATCATCATCGTCATCACCACCATCATCACCACCACCATCACCACCACCACCACCATCATCATCACCACCACCACCACCATCATCACCACCATCACCACCACCACCACCATCATCACCATCTCCACCATCACCACCACCATCATCATCATCACCACCACCATCACCACCACCATCATCACCATCTCCACCATCATCATCAGCAGCACCACCACCAGCACCAACACCATCATCATCATCACCACCACCATCATCATCATCATCACCATCATCATCACCACCACCACCAGCACCAACACCACCATCTACTACCGTGCCCACGCCCAGTCACATCGCTCGTGCCGTCTCAAACCATTAACTATATTTTGCATGTGGCCCCCCGCTTAGAGTCCGACGATAACAAGCGGCAACACAATCCGTAATGTCATACTTTCTATTGTTCGTGATGCAGTTCGTAACGGTGGAATAACAAAGATGTCCCCCCTCCCCCCCACGTGGCCTTCATTCGTGTCGGGGCAGGGGAGGGAATGAGAGGCGACGCGTGAGATGAGTGAGAGAGGACGCGTGAGATGAGTGAGAGAGGACGCGTGAGATGAGTGAGAGGCGACGCGTGAGATGAGTGAGAGAGGACGCGTGAGATGAGTGAGAGAGGACGCGTGAGATGAGTGAGAGGCGTGAGAGAGGACGCGTGAGATGCGTGAGATGAGTGAGAGAGGACGCGTGAGATGAGTGAGAGAGGACGCGTGAGATGAGTGAGAGAGGACGCGTGAGATGCGTGAGATGAGTGAGAGAGGACGCGTGAGATGAGTGAGAGGCGACGCGTGAGATGCGTGAGATGCGTGAGATGCGTGAGAGAGGACGCGTGAGATGCGTGAGATGAGTGAGAGAGGACGCGTGAGATGAGTGAGAGAGGACGCGTGAGATGAGTGAGAGGCGACGCGTGAGCTGCGTGAGATGAGTGAGAGAGGACGCGTGAGATGAGTGAGAGAGGACGCGTGAGATGAGTGAGAGAGGATGCGTGAGATGCGTGAGATGAGTGAGAGAGGACGCGTGAGCTGCGTGAGATGAGTGAGAGAGGACGCGTGAGCTGCGTGAGATGCGTGAGATGAGTGAGATGAGTGAGATGAGTGAGAGAGGACGCGTGAGATGAGTGAGATGCGTGAGATGAGTGACTGTAACGGAGCCACCCTGGGCCACCGTGGCCTTCCCCAGAGCTGCTGGCACGCGCGAGCGCACGACGCGCAATGGACGGGGCAATGGCGTTGCCCTCTCTGTCGACAACCCCTCGGCTGGAGAACCTGCTGCTGCCGACCTGTGTGTGTGTGTCTGTCTCTGTGTGCGTCTGTGTGTGTCTGTGTGTTTGTGTCTCTGTGTGTGTCTGTGTCTCTGTGTGTCTGTGTGTGTGGCTCTGTGTGTCTGTGTCTCTGTGTGTGTGTGTCTCTGTGTGTGTCTATCTCTCTGTGTCTCTTGTGTGTGTATGTCTGTGTGTGTCTCTTGTGTCTGTGTCTCTGTGTGTCTGTGTCTCTATGTGTGTCTCTATGTGTGTCTATCTCTCTGTGTCTCTTGTGTGTGTATGTCTGTGTGTGTCTCTGTATCTGTGTGTCTCTGTATGTGTCTATGTGTGTGCGTGTCGGTTCACATTCCCGCTCACGCCCAATAAGAGCGGCGAATATTTGAACCGGTATTGGAACTCCTCTAGGTACACTCGGCCTCAAATGAATACCGTACCTTTCTGTAACACGGAGGCTTTCGCGACCAATATCATCCAGGTTTGTGGGGGGGGGGGGGGGGGGGGTAGAGCGCGTAAATTTACGCGATCTAACGTAAATTTACGCGATCTAACGTAAATTTACGCGATCTAACGTAAATTTACGCGATCTAACGTAAATTTACGCGATTAAACGTAAAAAAAAACACTTTTGGACCATACCTTGGGTGAGGTGTAATTGCAAACAAAAAAACATTTGTACTGGAAAGACAAAGGCGGCCGGGAGCGGTGATGGCCACTCCCTTCGTGTACCACCCCGGCCTTAATAGGTGCTCGCTAACTTTGCCCAACAGCCAGTTGAGGCGACACTGCGCGTCTTTGTCGTGATGTAAATCGCGAATGTATTTATTGTTTACAATAAGCAATCACAACCGTCAATTAGCACAACAACAATGACGGGCTTGCATGGCTTATAACCTTTGCTTATAACCCTCAACAAAGGACCGTGTCAATTTAAACAAAGGGACACAAGAGACAAACAATGATACGTGTTGCTCCGACTTGTACCATCGTAACGCATTCTGCATAGCACTGTTGTTCACACATTAACTACACACACAGTTTAAATTGTCCTCAATCGTGTGAGGTTATATCACTGTAGTTTAACACACACACCTATATACTACGCGTACACATGTTACATGCTCAATGTTATATAGGCTCACGACGGATACATTACTTACATATCGCCCTGTTACACGCAAACATACGAACAGTGTTCGATTCTCAAGTCTCAACAATGTATAATATTAACACACATATCATTGCACTTACGTACATACACATCATTACGTACATACGAACAATTAATGTTAAAATCTGTAGTCTCATAACACATTAATATATAATGTACTGTTACACACACACACACAAGTTACATACAATTCCTACTCGATGTTGCCGCTATAATATCGCACCGTATCGTGCGTAGCGCCACAAACACGACGGGGGATGGAGAATGGCTCCATTAGCATGCAGACATCAACTTACGGGTCTCGTTATTATACATCGGCGTGTGTCTCTAGCCTCTACGGTGGTTCTCTTGTTAAGGTGAGAGAGAGAGATATGGAGAGAGATGGAGACACGGACGTGTGTTTACCGTGGAGGTATCGCTGCGAAGTTGCTTCCCCTCTCGGAACTTGCTCTGATCTGTTGCTTCTTCTGTTGTTTTGCAAAATTTAACCAGCAGCTGGGGCTGGGCGAGACCATTCAGTGGCGCGGGAGCGGGGGGGTGGGTGATGGTGAAGGCTGGGGGGTTGGGGGACGGCTCAGCCACCACACGTGCGAGGCCCAGTCCATTGCGACCGCGAGTTTATAACGAGAGGGCAGCGGGGGGGGGATGCTGTAAAAACACCCCCCCCCCCGCTGATTGTGTTGGCACGCGTTGGTACATCCCAACAATTTTTTGCTTGCCCGTGTTGCGAATGTGTTTGTGTGGTTTCTTTGGGCTCCGTGTGTGCGCATGTTGCAGAGCATCTTTGTAAATCCACTGCTGGATGAACAGGGCATTTCCTCACTCATATGCGGGTCATTGAGGGTAATTTGACCATACTTCACCATGCTGGTCAAGTTACCCTTCATGCTATAAAACGTTATTATTATACTGTACGTATATTTTTGTATGTATCTCATGCCTATAGTTGCTCGTGTATTTAAATAAGCATGTGGATTGTTTTTTTTTAAATGTTGCTCTGTATTAAGGAAAGCAAGTTGTGTTGTGCAATCGGCGGGTGGATGCACACGTGACGGTGGTTGGGTTTGGGCTGGTTACAAACATGTGGTGGAAGAGGGGGAAAAGTGGAATGCGGAGCCACATTCTCTGGAGCGTGGAGTCCGATTTCCGGAGCGTGGAGTCACAACTACCGATGTAACTTCCACGGATTTCTACATCACAATGGGACATGCATTTAATCGATGTAACTTCCACGGATTTCTACATCACAATGGGACATGCATTTAATCGATGTAACTTCCACGGAATTCTACATCACAATGGGACATGCATTTAATCGATGTAACTTCCACGGATTTCTACATCACAATGGGACATGCATTTAATCGATGTAACTTCCACGGATGTCTACATCACAATGGGACATGCATTTAATCGATGTAACTTCCACGGATTTCTACATCACAATGGGACATGCATTTAATCGATGTAACTTCCACGGATTTCTACATCACAATGGCACGTGCATTTAATCGATGTAACTTCCACGGATTTCTACATCACAATGGGACATGCATTTAATCGATGTAACTTCCACGGATTTCTACATCACAATGGGACATGCATTTAATCGATGTAACTTCCACGGATTTCTACATCACAATGGGACGTGCATTTAATCGATGTAACTTCCACGGATTTCTACATCACAATGGGACATGCATTTAATCGATGTAACTTCCACGGATTTCTACATCACAATGGGACATGCATTTAATCGATGTAACTTCCACGGATTTCTACATCACAATGGGACATGCATTTAATCGATGTAACTTCCACGGATTTCTACATCACAATGGGACATGCATTTAATCGATGTAACTTCCACGGATTTCTACATCACAATGGCACGTGCATTTAATCGATGTAACTTCCACGGATTTCTACATCACAATGGGACATGCATTTAATCGATGTAACTTCCACGGATTTCTACATCACAATGGGACATGCATTTAATCGATGTAACTTCCACGGATTTCTACATCACAATGGGACGTGCATTTAATCGATGTAACTTCCACGGATTTCTACATTACAATGGGACATGCATTTAATCGATGTAACTTCCACGGATTTCTACATCACAATGGGACATGCATTTAATCGATGTAACTTCCACGGATTTCTACATCACAATGGGACATGCATTTACTCGATGTAACTTCCACGGATGTCTACATCACAATGGGCCATGCATTTAATCGATGTAACTTCCACGGATTTCTACATCACAATGGGACGTGCATTTAATCGATGTAACTTCCACGGATTTCTACATCACAATGGGACATGCATTTAATCGATGTAACTTCCACGGATTTCTACATCACAATGGGACGTGCATTTAATCGATGTAACTTCCACGGATTTCTACATCACAATGGCACGTGCATTTAATCGATGTAACTTCCACGGATTTCTACATCACAATGGGCCATGCATTTAACCCAAGGAGCACACAGACTCACACATCTATCTTGCACGTGTCCCTGGCAAGCAATGCTTTCTCTGTGTACATGACGGAACGTTGTACATGCACAGCTCTTATTGTTACTCCACTGCTGGATTAGGGGGGAGGAGGAGGGGGCTCTCCCCACGCCACGCCGGGGGAAGTATGGTCAAGATCACGTCACTCAGTACACCTGTACCTGGTCACTCACTACACCTTGTCACTCACTACACCTTGTCACTCAGTACACCTGTACCTGGTCACTCACTACACCTTGTCACTCACTACACCTTGTCACTCACTACACCTGTACCTGGTCACTCACTACACCTGCACCTTGTCACTCACTACACCTGTACCTGGTCACTCACTACACCTGTACCTGGTTACTCACTACACCTGTGCCTGGTCACTCACTACACCTTGTCACTCACTACACCTGTGCCTTGTCACTCACTACACCTGTACCTGGTCACTCACTACACCTGTACCTGGTCACTCACTACACCTGTACCTGGTCACTCACTACACCTTGTCACTCACTACACCTGTACCTTGTCACTCACTACACCTGTACCTGGTCACTCACTACACCTGTACCTGGTTACTCACTACACCTGTACCTTGTCACTCACTACACCTGTACCTGGTTACTCACTACACCTGTACCTTGTCACTCACTACACCTGTACCTGGTTACTCACTACACCTGTGCCTGGTCACTCACTACACCTGTACCTGGTCACTCACTACACCTGTACCTGGTCACTCACTACACCTTGTCACTCACTACACCTGTACCTTGTCACTCACTACACCTGTACCTGGTTACTCACTACACCTTGTCACTCACTACACCTGTACCTGGTCACTCACTACACCTGTACCTGGTTACTCACTACACCTGTACCTTGTCACTCACTACACCTGTACCTGGTTACTCACTACACCTTGTCACTCACTACACCTGTACCTGGTCACTCACTACACCTGTACCTTGTCACTCACTACACTTGTACCTGGTTACTCACTACACGTGTACCTGGTTACTCACTACACCTGTACCTGGTTACTCACTACACCTGTACCTTGTCACTCACTACACCTGTACCTTGTCACTCACTACACCTGTACATCACAACAGCGTCAGCTTGATTCATGAATCGGCATTCACTGAGACACTTCGGTGACCGCAACCCAGGGGCGGTCAGTGGCCTCCTCGCCTCTCTTCTGCCGCTGCCACCGCGAGTTTTGGCCCCGTGAGTGTCGCTCGCCGATGCCTCCACTCGTGGTGACGCTGCCGTCTACCACGCTGACCAGAGCCGGGTTATCCGAGTAGCAAAGGTAGCTACGTATGTAGTAGTAGCTACCATATGTATAGTAGTAGTTACCACATATGTAGTAGTAGCTACCACATATGCAGTAGCTACGTATGTGGTAGCTACTACATATGTGGTAGCTACTACAACAACACACTCACTTACCCACACACACTCACCCACCCACACACACTCACCCACCTACTCACACTCACCCACCCACACTCACCCACACACACCACTCACCCACCCACAGACACTCACCCACCTACTCACCTATTCACTCACGCCACTCCGTCACCACACTGCAGGTTACAACACGTGTCTCTCTCTCTCTCTGATGGTTCTCGAGCACTGTTCCACTGTGTAATTCTTTCCCATCGTCTATTTACCCAAGTTCTTACAACATGCTCATTTAAAAAAATGTTAAGTATGAATTATTATCTCAGCTTTAATTGTGCTGATTGTTGCTCTCCACTTGGTATTGTGTGCCTTAGGGCCCTGCGCTCAGAACCATGATAAACAAGTATATTGGAGGATCCTGGCTGCTGATGAGACCCAAGAGGTCAAACCCGGTTCAGAGTTTGCACGTTTCATTTATATTTGCTTGTATCTCTGTAGTGTCATCCTAATAACCCAAGGGTTGATGTCCATGACAGACAATTTTCATCTTTAACTATCTTCAGCGTATGTGTGTTGAACTACTTTCGCACCGTACATAGCCAACCCTGCTAATCGGAGGTGCGTCTCTCTCGGAGAGTTACGTCCCACCGTCTCACATTGTCCCGACAATCGATCTGTTTCATTGCTCTCCGACTTGCTTCCCTTGCGGAGACAATCACCATTGTCACAGCACGGCAGGCGACACACACGAGTCTTATCTCGTTCGTGCTGGTGACGGCCAGGTGACCAATTGTTCAGCAGCCCTTTGGAGACGCGCGCGCGTCTTGATGCGGGGCTGCAGAGCAGCGGTGCACAGCACGGACAGCGCAACCCCGCAGACTCGGCAATCACACGCACCAGCAGCACCACCATTGCAGAGAGATGCTACGACAACAGGGCTATCTCCTAAAACGTCGCCTATACATTTTCATATGTTTATTTTGGTCCATTTAGGACAGAATGTGTCGATTTTTTTTTCATTTTAATTGTGGGTCGGAGAGTCTCTCTGCCGTTCCAGATGACTACCAACCTACCGGTCCGGGCTATACATCCCCATAGTGCAAACCCCTGTAAACGAGTCTTGAGATTTTAGTAGGACTTTTGTGTTGCACGCCCCTGCCATCTAAACCATTCTACGGTGTCACCAGGGTATTTTTACTCTGTTATGCAATTTGCGTAAAGGCGCTATAAATAAATATAAAAATACGATCAGATATCAAGTAACGCACGTGACCGTTTTTGCATTCATCTCTCTCTCTCTCTCCCATTTTATTGTTGTTGTTGTTGTCGGGTCCCTGCGTGCGCACCACTAAAGCTGGACCCTTGTGTAAGAAGCCAGGGGGCCACCCCCGCCTCCTACCCCCATCACTCCCTGTCACCGCTGGCTCGTCACGCTGCCGCCTCGGAGTCCACCGAAGGCGCAGCCACTGCGAGGCTGAGACAGCCGTGCGCGCTGGGATGCCGCGGAACTGGGGGCACCACCACCACCGCCACCACCGCCACCACCACCGCCACCACCACCGCCACCACCACCGCCACCACCACCGCCACCACC